AAGTATATATTGGGTCAATATATACATAATATTATAGAAAATTAAGTCATATATCATTGTTGATATATAATTTATAACTTTACGCCATAATTAAAATCTATAAATTACATCACGGTGCGAAATGTATGATAATAACAAACAGATTCTAACACCGTATAGAATTACAGACCGTCGTTTAATCAACATTTAAAATTGCTCGTCATAAACAGGTACAAGAACAAAAAATCGATTCTTAATGTATGCCACAATTTTTGCGGCACACTTTGAAAAATATTAATCTCCGCTTAGTCGCGTTCGTATGAAAATTTTTACAGTAATTACATCTATAAACAATTTTAATGGTCCGAAGAAACAAAGGACTGTTTTGGCAAACAAATTTATGAGAAAATTGTTCCTTATCGCGACGTAGCTTTTTCGTATAGATTCAACCTCGTTAATTACCACGATATAAAAACTCGCATTTTTTGCAACAACGTTCCTAGCCGCTTTTCATATCCACATCGATCTGCTTTAAGCTTCGAAAGCTCTCTCACTTGTGCAGTTATCCAAAAGCGCTTGAAAGGGTAGACGAATATTTTCATCCTCGTAGCGTGACGTGCTACGTTGGGTAATTAAATTTCTCAGCTTCGTAACGCTGGCAGCTCGGAAAAAATTTTCTCTTTGACCCTCTGTTGATGTCATAATCCGTCATGAGACGTTCTTGTTCTTTAAGAGGATGACCCGGCAATTTTGCGAGCAGGAGAGATTTTTCTTCTAATTAATGACATCTTTACATTGTTCCACGCGTTTTTTTTAATTAACATATATAATCCGCGTTTTATACTTTTTTTTACATCGATAACCAATGGATGTATACGTATAGCACCGTCTATTTGGAAAAATGATACGCTCGCATTTCGAATCCACAAACTATGTTGAACCTTTTCTCAAATAGGATAAATTATTGTACATAATTTTGTCCTTTCCTCTCTTCCACATTCGTCCCGGACTCTTTTAGGTCATACGGTGCGCGACTCACAGCGAGACCTCGTGAAAATTTATTTCTTTATAACCGGCACATCTCTCGTGTAGCTCTTCTTTCGGAAGTTAATATCCTCCTTAATCTTTTCACGTCCGAAAAACTTGGTCGGCGAAGACTCGACCCTCGCAACTTCGCGCGCGAACTTTTGCTTGGCGCGCATCGTCTTGTACAAAAGTTAAAAATTTGCCCGACAACAAGAGAGAGGTTGCTTTCAATTCGCTTCTTTTTTTTTTTTTTTTTTTTTTTTTTGCTTCTTGCTTGTTGTCCGCGTAGATCGATCTACGTGGCAACGATGTGGCAATCTCGTGTGGCTTTGACACGGACAACCCTCAGGCATGTCTCACAGACGACGAATATATGAATAATTTCCCGTCGACACGACGCCGTCCGTCGTGGAAAATCGATATTCCATAAATGTGTAAATGTGTAACTGAATCCGAATGATTCTCTTTGCCTAAGCAAAGAATGTAACCTTGCCATGGCGATGCAATCGTGTGTGTTCCGAAATGCATTAGCGGCATTACAGCACGTGCTGTACCGTCTGCAGCAACATCTTCGACCGATAGCAAGATCGATAACTCAACGGTATACAAATTGTTTCTGTCGTTTGACGCAATGTCTGCAATTTTTCTACCTTTTGTCGTTTTTAATTTTTGTTTAAGTTTTAAAAAGCTTGAAATTGTTAAAAATTGTTTAAAAAATTCATATATTATAAATATTGACAATTTTTATCTTTTTGACATAACTTACTGAGCGTTCGAAAAATCAGAAACATGAAATTTTATTTTTTTGATTTACTGTCACACAATTTTTTTCACTTAGATTTTCGACGTAGTTTTTAACCGCTATCCTAACGGAAGAATTTTATTTTGTAAAACGGGAAAATCGGAAGACGATATTTTTTTTTTGTTTCGGTAGATTTTATTTGCGGTTCACTTCACACAATTGCGGGAATTGAATTTAACGGAGGTTCTGAAATTTCGAAATTTTTCACACGCGAGGAAAAAAATTATACGTTTATTTGTAAAATAGAAAGGAAAAAAAATGTTTGTTTGCGATGTATTAAAAAGAAAGGATTTTCCCGCGTTTGTACGTATCGGGTTAACTCGCGAGAGACAGATTTATGGGCAATATCCCTTGCGACGGAAAATTCAGGGTGATAAGGGGAGACGCGCGCGCAAATGTGTTTCGAGAACGCGTACTGAATATCGCGATCGATATCTCGCGCTGCCGCCGGAAATCACGGCGTAATACGTCCACGAGCATTTCCGGCGATCGATGCATCCTGGCCGCTTGTCACTTTGTCTTCCCGTACCTGTTTCCCTTGTGCATATATATATCGTCACGCTCCCGATTCCCCGTTACTCGCTGGCGAAAATTCAATCTCCCGATTTTCCCGTGGAAAAAGGCCGGCGCGCTTTGGCCCCGGAAACATGTACCGTTGTGTATATACAAAACAAAATGAAGAAATACCGGAGTGGTAAACGAATACTCTTTTTCATCGTTTTGAAATAAAAAAGTGTCGTATTTTATTTCAGCCCTGTCCCTTTTCTCTGTATATTTCTTTTGCGAACAAAGTTTATTATTCGCAATCTCGAAATGTTTCATAACGTTCAGCTGAAACTTCCGCTGAAACAATAGACGGAGAGATATCGTATAATAGAAAATGTTATGCTACGTAGTTAAATTGATCAGTTCAAGAATTTTTAATAACATGTATTTTCCGGATATATTTAAGCAACGGTAACAATTATAATAAATATATATATATATATATATATATATATATGAGATACATAATAGATTGATGAACGCTTTACAGAACAAAATTGTTTGTCCTCGCCAAAATTATAAGCTCCTTAATTATTGATCATGATCTATAATCTATTGTAAGTCGTCTTAGAGTGCAACGAATTCGTTATCAATCTTTCTGCGGAACACTAACTGAAATCAATTGAAGCGATCATACGATCTCGCCGCTCATTCATCGGGAAAAACTTTCCTCAATTGAACTAATCGTGACGATTCGTCTTCATTAACGCGCTTCTCCTTTCGATTCCGCACTGAACTGTAGAGTGGCTATCATCGTATCGTGCTGAGAACATAGGCAAGAAAGGGAAATTAGGAAGCGTTGATTCCGCTCGTGTCGAGGTTTCCTGTCGGGCAAACTTTTTTCGTCGCATTCACTATAACGGGATAGGTCTGAATAGCAATTAATTAGGAGTAGACGTCGTGGCAGAAGCTCGATTCACGATACGCAGCGAAATATGAAATTCAATTTGGCTGTAGACGACCCACGAAAATTAAAGTTCCCCCTTTGTTGGGTACGAATATTTCGGGAAAGATAGCGCATTGTTAAAGTAATGGCTGTGTCGATTAATATAATTTGATGTCTTTCTCCTCGAAACCCACATTAATTTAATGAATTATATAATGTAATTTAGAAAAGTAATATAACGTCTTACCCAGTGTGTTCTTGATTACACTGTAAAAAAAATATGTAAAATTACAGGATAAATAATGAAAAAGAAAAATTTCTATTATTTATCGTGTAATTTTACACTTATTATTTATGTAATTTTACATATTTTTGTGTAATATATTACATATTTTTTTACAGTGTACTATCTTGCGTAAAAACGTCATTACTTTTTCTTACTATCTCTCGATTAATAATTCTTAACAAAAAATTGTTTTGAATTTAATTGAATAACAGTGACGTGTTTATTTTCCTTCTTTGAACACGTTTTTTTTTTCTATTTTTTCTTTTTCTCTTTGCTCGCGATAGAATGCGTCAATCAGATATTTTACTCGAGGAATATCAAATCAGTCTTCTATTTGTGTGCACTTCCGAATAACGAACAAGCTTGAAATTGCAACGCGACATCGATTGCAATGCTTTTATTCATCACATATTCGATCTGATATGTTTTACGTCAGACATATATTAAACTCTATCTGTCTATTAACGTATCGCGTATTTTAATATCTCCCATTTCGCGACATTATCAGAGCAACGACGACGGTGAAGTTCGTCGTTACAGTTGCAGCGCGACAGTTCAGTTATCGCGGCCACGATAATTATGCGAAGCGGAAAATTTCGTGCACACGCGGTTGCCAACTTCCGCTTTTAATGAGCTCCCCGCGTTTAATAAGCACGCGGTATGCAGAAAGACGGAATTTGCATCGCGAAGGAGGTATTTCAATCCTACCAGTTTAAACGTTTAGCCGAATCAACAAAAGCACCGCCTCGGCAAGGGAAATCCTTTATATATATATTTTTTTTACTTAAGTTTGCATGAGTAATTCCCATGTCGAATGCAAATGCATGTTGTACAGCATGTACAGTTTGCCACAAATGACCTTCTCCAAGATTCCTAAAGCTGCACTCCTAGTAATTTATAAAAAGCTGGCCAAAAATGTCCGATCACTCCGGCAAGAAAAAATGTATTTGTTAATTATAACGATTCGCGTAGTAATAAAAATATTAATTAATTAATTAATTAATGCGGAAATATATATATATTTTGCGCATGTAAAATATTTTACAAAAAGTTTGCATTAAATTGTATAAGCGTGTACTGCGATGAATTAAAAAAAATTGATAATAAAACCTTCAGTTAAAGTAAGAGTCACATGTAGTAAATAATAATGACTTACGGGTAGCTTATTCAAAATTTAATTCATGAAAATAAGCTTTCATGTTAAATAAATTCATAGTTATAATTCGTTACGCATCCCTTGAAATTCATCAAGGAACACGCTTCAGAATGCAAACTTTTGATGTTAAAGCTCGTACATAATTCTCGCATAAACGATATTTTTGATGGAATGATATTGTATTCTAATAATTTTTTGGAATCTAATCTGCAAGATGCGCGGGATGAATGATCTTGCCGGAAGCATGAAGCTCCTTTAATCAAAGAACAAAAAATTACGCGATCTCTCTTCTAATTTCCTCGACGCTCGGTTGTTGCAGGCACACACTCCTCTTCTCGCGGCCGACACGAGACACGTAAGTAGAAAGTTGGTAGTAAAAAGTAAAAAGTAGCAGGGACAAGGAGATCGTTAGCGAGTAGCCGCGACCGAGAGAAGAATTGCAATCGTCACTTGCGCGTAGTTTGCGTCCTCTTTAACTTTACACGTTTCACTCGACTGATAAAGTATGTCAGCCAACGCTAACTTATATACCTACCAGTAAAAAAAAATTAACTCGCTAAGAACATTGTATCTATTATATAATATTGCTGAAACTTTTCACAAAATAAAATGTAATAATTATTCTATCGAGGGCTTTTCTATGCTCTTATTTAAATTTTTTGACGGTCGTATAAATTTTTCTCTCGGCACGGAGTTTGAGCGAATTTGCATATCACTGAACGCGAACGGTAATGTCTGCGATAATCGAAAGCATTTACGTTTTATTAATTCACACAGATGACAATATTTGCGTTTACGTCTATTTGCATTTCTGCAAATTGCTCAGCTGTTTCGTCTTCGATACAGATAAAGTTTGCAATATATATATATATATATATATATATATATATAGTAACATCGATACGATATTATGATGTCTATCCTTTTCACAATTAATATCGAATCAGAAATGTTACACAGAATAAGTATACAACGCTTGATGACAAAATACATTTAATTTGTATTAGTACAGAGTAGTTTGTCGAGAGACAAAAGTTTTGTTAACGAGCGCGACAGAGGGAAGGTTCAGAAATCGAATTACGACGGCAGCTGATTAAATCGAGACATGAGATTACAAACGTTTCAATAAGATAACGCGACGGTCTCGTACAAGCGCGTACTTCCAAGTTTATCGTGATGTAATTGCAGTTTCATATCGCTTTACTGTGCGGCGGCTCCTCGTAAATTACACGCGCAAGAAGACGTAACGGATAATTATTTGCCCCTGAGTCATTAGCGTTAACGATTCCTCTCCTCTTGGTAGTACGTTCTAATCTACGTGCAACAATTTCGTTCTCGACATGTCATTCCTTAATCACTGTTTGATTAGTTAACTTTGGCGATTATTATCCGCGGATCTTTTAAGGCGGATACGAATCCCTATCGGTGTAGGCGGCAGATCCGGAAGCGTTCGAGTTCACGGAAGCTTCCGAAAATCGATTCGTTATGTATGCAGGAAATTGTGTCATCTCCCTTCGTGCACGCGGCTTCCTTCTACGCTTCTCGTTCGCTTCCGTTTCTTCGAGACGGTCACGTCTAATTTGCCACGAAACTAATCCAATCGCTTTTCGAGTAAGTTTATCAGAACTTTCATTCGTCTAATTCCAAATAACAATCTAAGTAACGCATGTTCGTAAAAATATTGTGTAAAATTTCTAAACTCCATCTCTAAGTCGATGTTTGAAAATTTGAAAACGGCAAACATGTGGAGGAATTTAATTTTTTGAATGTTGGACTACGGATCGAGATGATATGAAAGTGATGGCAAGCTTAATATGATTTTATTAATTAATATAGAATTAAATATTAATCTGTTTATAAGTATCAGAATATCAAAACTGAAGAATTCAAAAATTTCGAAAGTAGTAAATGTAATAATTTCGTAAAACATGAATCAACTAAAAAATATGTTATTATATTTTGAAAATAAATCTTTAATTATTTATTTATTATAAATAAGGGTTAAAAGACGAAGTTCAAAAGTTTCAGAATTTAAAAGATTTTACATATCTTTTTAAGAATTAATGTTTATTCTTCTGCTTACAATCATTTAATTTTTAATGGAAATAATTCCTTCTCTTTTTTGATCATTTTAATTAGTGCAATTTTTCAATTGCATTGAGAGAAAAACAGATGGAGAGAGAGAATTTGATTTGATTTTTGATGTGCGTTGCGGGCGAAGAGAAATATAGTAAAACTGGGCGCGGCATACAATTTCAATACGGATTACAATGACAGCGATGTTAATTTGTACGATATATTTCGAGCGCGTTGTTCAACATGGACTCTAAATTCCGATAGGAAAGCTTAAAACAATTATCCCCCAACATGAAAGTTAAACTCCACCTAGTTGTACAGCAATACATACTATCTTTACATATATACAACATTTACATACAAACAATTTCCTTTTGATATGCACATAGCGTAGTTCAATATATATCATTAAAACATCGTAAATCCGTGCATCAGGCTAATTAACTATCGCGTTGCATTTAATTATTATATTATATTAATTGGATGGAAATCCATGCATGTGTCGATATTTTGATCGGTTCATTATTCGACGAATTAAAGCTGGCATTAAACATCAAGAAAGTTACATACATATACAAATATATTACGGATTTCAACGATCGTGTGGACGCATATCGTTAGACCCGTCATTTACAAGTTTCTATTGAAAACTAATCTGATTTTAAACACGAATCCAGACGAGATTTAAACGAGACGCAACACGAACCCCTGCGTTATCCCGAATGCCTCCTATCTCGAGACATTATTCATTCAACGGAGTTGATTAGTCCCCGGCAGCCTTTTAAATCACCCCTGTCTCACGAATGTGCAAACACACCCATCGTCTCCTCCTCAAAACTTCACCGGTTTCGTTCTCTTCTACCCTCTTCGGCCTCGTCGGAAGATTCATAGCGAGCCTGATTCGATTTGCAGCGCCGTTTGAAATTCAGGCAAGGGCGTATTTCATTCGTCGACGGTCGTCGGCGAAGAGGAGGATCGCGGGAGCCGATGAATATCGAGCTTGCCAAATGGAGTAAACTGCAGCCTCCGGCTCGTGTAATCTTCCGGAAGTCGCCGTCTGCCGTCGATTATATCCTGCTACTCCCTCTTTTCGTTCGCCGCCTCGTTTCTCGCTTCTCTTGTCTCATCACACCTCTCTGCCTCACTGTCTTCCGGGATTCCCTTTTTCCTGTCGCCGCGATCTCACCGCATCGTTCCTTCTTCCCTTGGCCTTGGCAATAAATCAGGCAAATGGGGTGCTGCCGCGTGATCCGACGAAATGAAGCCAAGTCGTTTTTTTTACGGATGTCGCGTCTGCGCGGGAATCATATTTCCGTCGTGGATTCCCGGAGAGCTGTTTGCCTTCCATCGCGGAAAAATCTCGCGCCAAAATGACTGTCCCGTGAATAGAGAGAGATTCATGGCGTAGAGCGAATTCTCCGCATGGCTCGACAGATTCCACGAGCGTTCGTCAATACGCGGCGGGTATCGGCTTCCGGTATTCATTTCTTTTGGATTAGTACTGTACGTTGCACGTAGGTGTAGATATAGATATAAATGTGCCCGAGAGAAAAAAATCTGTGTTTTATGTGTGTGAGCGCCGTAAATAGGACGATAAATGTCTCTAGATTGAACGATATAAAGCTGTTGTCGAAAACGTTATTTATACGATTGCATAAATGATACTCGTATGTGTTCAATATTGTTGAAAAAATTTGCTATTCGATATTGAATTTATTATTCTGCTCTTTTGCATATATATTTAAAGCAACTCGTTATCAAATTTGCGATTAAACATATATTACATCATTGATTGCTTTCAATAAATTCTACATTTTGCTCGATAGAATATCCAGTAGGAGGATACTTATTATTCGTGGATAGTAACATAATTTCGTTCCTGATAATGAGAATTCTAATATTTCAGGTTTATCCGCATGAGTCATTCTGAGTCAGGGCTTCGATCGCCATCTAAAATTCGGGACTTGAGCTGCACAAACACGTTCTCGTGGGAAAACACCCTATTTCGCATTATTCCTAGCCGTCGAAATCCCATCAGAACCTTCATTTTGTCTCCCTTCAATACGCTATGCTTTGTCATCTCAATATTACGTCATTACGTTCATGAGCTTATGTGTTTGCCTTGATTAGGTCTTTACTTAACCAAAACGCTAAAATGTCAGCAGTATGTAAAATACATATTTTATGGAACTATAGTTTACATCTTTTGTAGGAAAATTTCTTCAAATTGTGCAATCTCTTTGTCATCGATTTAGACAATAATATATTGAGATAAGTCATTCTTTTTTTTAAATTTTATATAGACATCTTTTATAATTCTCAATTATAAATTATAATCATAAATTTTAAGTTTATTCTCTCTCTTCGTCTTCCTTTTTTTCTATCTACAATCATTTTTATTATCACGAAGCATCCTTAATTATTTGGTGATTAAATCATATTATATATTCCATCATATTCGGAATAATCGATATCGTATTTCCTCCTGACACAATCCATTAGTGATTAGGGATCATCGGCCAGTAGCTCACGTTGATTACCACGTGGTGCACCTCCTCCTGGCACTTGCCGCGTTTCCGGTCCTATAGCATTATAGGCTGCCGGTATTATAACGGGACACGTCATATAAATCACGTCGAATGACGTGCATGCTTCGCTCTCTCTGGTGCGTCCCCTGACGTCGACGCAAATTGCCGACATTAGTCGTTAGTGACGTATCATGACTGGTCCTTCCGTTCCGAGAAAATCACCACCGGTGTTACCCTTCGTGTCAGTTTCACACGTCTAATAACTCAGTTCTGTATTAATTCTTTATTAGTTCGCTTTTCAATCGTTAGATTAGATATTTCTCTTTATTAATACTCAAGCGCCTAAAAATTGATTTCATATTGGAAAAAAACTTATTGTAAAACTGTCTTTCTAGATTTATATTAAAAAAAAAAAAAATAAATTATGTGCTTGTGAACTTTACATAAGCTTCTCGTAATTTTTATACGTCAACACAAAATCTGCATTTTTTAAAAATATGAATTTAAAGCAAAAAATCTCTTCAATTCAGAATCTAACAATTCTGTTAAAATTTTAATATGCCCTTTTTTTAATATTGTCGTTATAGTTAATTTTTTTATTCTTTTGGAATTTTTTCGGTTTGTTTCCTTTTCTATTCGCTTTCGCATTTCTAAAGGACACGATTAAATTAATGGAATACAAACGCAATGTGGTTCTTTAGCTCTTAATAATTTTTCCGATACGCGGGTATATTGCGTGCTGGCAATCATT